CACCAATAAAAAATCCCATGTAAGTAAAACATACCTATTCACATTTAACAAATCCAAATACCCCTAAATAGTACAATGTAAAGGAAATGTACAGTATACGCAAAAATTATAACAGTAACATATACAGCACAAAAAACAAAAGCGAAAGGTAGAAAATCTCACGTCGTAGTGATGGAGATCTCTCTCGGCGACTTGCACCAGAAAGTGATTCGCCCTAACAATGCATTTTCGGCCGACAGTACCGTACCCCGGCCTCGTCGGAGAGCCGCCGCTCCGCCTTCGACGATAACGGAGGTGGCTGCACCGGTTCCTGAACTGGCTGCGCCGGAGCTTGTACGGACTGCTGAGGCATTTGGATCACCGGCGGCGTTTGTACGGAAACCGCCGGCTGGGCAGGAGCCGCAGATTGAATCGTCAGTTTCTGCTGCATGTCGCGGCTCAGAGAAGCCGATGAAGAAGACGAAGCCGGAGCGGGAGCGGGAGCGGGAGCCGGAGCTGATAGCGATGGAAACTGAGTTGACGACGGTGGTGGGGGTGCCGGATAGTCACCACCGCGACCACGTCCGCTGCCACGACCGGAAGATGGCGACGGCATCGATTGGTCATAGTCGCCTCGTCCGCCACCACGTCCTCCACGACCACGTCCACGACCACCACCACCACCACGTCCGCGACCACGTCCTGACATTTTTCTTCAACAATGAAGAGAGTGAGAGAATGTCTGAGTAAATTGAAAAGACTGGGAACAAAATCGAGTAGTCCTAACAATTCATAGGGAGAGAGACGTGAATGAGTAAAAAGAGGACTCAGAAGGAGTGAGAGAATTAGTAGGACGGATGTGAGAGAAGGGAAGGGCCGCGAATATATAAATGCTTAGCAGGTTTCGGAGGATTTTTGTGGACGATTTTGTCCCAGTGTCAAGTTTCAATTGCGTTGGTGACCCTCCATTTTGGACCCATTTATTCTTTTATTTTTATTTTAATTTTTTTGGTTATTAGACGACAAATTTTAGCCTAAGAATACAAGAAAGCAAAAGGACAAAAATGATCCCCTCGCAAAAAAATTAGATAAATCTATATTTATGGTAGAGAACAGTTGAAAATTGGAATAGTCACCCACAAAAAAAAAAAAAAAAAACTTAAAATAGTTGATTTATACTTACAATATGTTTTAAGTATAATGGCTCCCCACGATGCACGGAAATTGAACACATCTCCTTCCCCCTTTCTCATCCATCTTTTCCTGCTTACTTTTTATTTTTTATTAACATCATATCATTTAAAAAATTTGATAGAAAATTATTTTAAAAATAATAATTTAAGGTAATAAAATAATTATGTAAATTTATGGTGATAAAATTATATTTCTAAAAAATTAAATTAGTTGCTCATTTTTATATAAAAAAAATTGAATCAATGATAGTTATTAGTGGGGTAAAAAAATCATTTAAGGTAATAAAATAATTATGTAAAGTTATGGTGATAAAATTATATTTCTAAAAAAAATAAATTAGTTGCTCATTTAAAAAAATTTGAATCAACAATAGGTAATTAGTGAGGTAGAGGGATAGTTACATGAGATATGTGTTAAAACATAATTAGTTAAGTGATAATTAAATAATCAAAAATTCTAAGAAAAAAAAAGTGGGAGGAAAGGATTTTCAAAATACCTCCCACCTAATTTGATTGTTATATATATATATATAAATAGATGCTAAAAATTTAAAGTTTTTTGAGAGAAAATTTAGTTTTGTTTGAATTCTAAAAAATAGAGGTATTTTTTTGAATGGGTGAATTACCAAATGGGCTACTAAAATTTTTGAATATGTTGCCAACTTTATTTTTACAATAAATGAAAATAAAAATGCTGAACTTGTACCAAGGGGTTGAGTTTGTGAACAAAACATCTCAAAGGAAACGACGCCAAGTTGTCATCAACTTAAAAAGCAATCACTTTTGAGAACCAAAATCGAAAAGAAATCAACACTCTCTTCCACATAATTCTACAAAAGAATTAAAAGTGTGTAGACTTCGAATGAAAAATTTTAACAATTAAAATGATTGAATAGTAAGTAAACTAGTTTTTACAATTAAAAAGAGTATTGGTACCCTCTCAGAGTCAGATTAATTGACGTACGCGTAATCTAAACATACTTTATCAACCAATTAAACGTATTTTATCCCCAATTCTATTCAAACAATTCAATTTGGAAGATATCATAATGTAGTAAAGTTATCATACAACAAATGGTCTTGCTAATTGTCATTGGTAAGAGTTGGAATTTTCGACATGATGTTATACAAACTTGCTTCAAATTTATTAGGTATAGATTGATAAGTTTTTGAGAAAATAATTCAAAAAAATGAGGCAATCCATTTACAAGAATAATTATGTGTTGGATTAATTTAATACTAGGTTAATTGATTTTTTCGTAACCCAATACAATTTTTTTATGTGTTACCTAGGACTGAATGAATCATCGTAGAATAAATAACGCTTAGTTGCATTATTTTGGTTAAGTAGTTATGGGTATTAACTAGAAATGATTAGTATTTAATATAATCTCAAAATAACATTGTAAATACGAACAACTCAATTCAATTTTTATTATTCCACTTGAAAATTCTATTTTCTTTTTGAAATTCTTAGTATTATTGTTGATTGTACTATATTTGGGTGTAATTAATTTTATATTAACAATTAAAAATAAAATAAAAAAGTAATTCTTTTTAGAGATATTAAAATTTATAAGCAATATACCTATAATGCAAATCTTTTATTTACCCAGAAAAGTAATAATATCGAATTTAGAAGGGGCAAAGAATAAAATAATCAGATGCTGACTATGCGTCCCGCCCATAATAGACAAATCACAGCTGAGAACAAAAGCCAGCGAGTACAGAATACAACATTCTTTCTGCAAGATAAACATACTCGCTGATCTGAGCCTGGTAGTTGTGCTGATAAGGCCCAATTTCTGACACGTGTCAAACATCCATAGCCCGTGGACCCCAATCTCTCACCCAAGAGTATGCCTTAAAATTCCCAAAAGTCTGGTAACACAACAAAATAATCATGAGCTTACGTATGTTGGCGGCTGTGGCATGGCATGGGATGGATATGGCTCATGGAACGACGGCGAATAGATCGAGACGCAATGAGAACCTCTGTCGTGGCGATTTTTCCCAGGACTGCTGCTTCAGCGAAGCTCTCGTGGACCCCATCGACCATCTCTACGTCATGGCGATAAAAAGGCAAATACTATAATACCCAAAAAACATTATAATTTTAAGACCATTTTATTATTTTTATTAGTATAACATTTGCTCGACAAACAGAGAGAGTTTCGGATGAGGTGGATAAAGACAGAGACAGCGAGGTAGTGGGGCCCGGAATCCGTACGGGCGTGCTCGGTTACTGGAGGACTGGGGGTCCCCTCTTTGCGGGATATGTAGGACCACGTTTGTGGAGCAGAAGCTAACAAGCAAGAGCAGTTAGTTAGAGCATTTTGTGACTTAAATTTGTGAAAAAAGTTTGATTTGGTATATGAGTATTATAATAGATTTATTTAAATATTTTTTTACAAAAATTATTATCTTAATATTTTTTTTATTAAAATTATGATATTTAATAAAATAAAAAAACTTGCATCTCTATCCATAAATGGGTAATTAAAAAAAATGAATATATATACAACACTAATAGGAGTAAATAAACTACCCCAAAATACACTTAAAAATTTGATATAGAATTTGAGGATGTTTTAATTTGGGTTCAAAATAAGTTTTGTCTTGATTTGGTATATATTTGAGTTAAGATTGAAAATGTTCTTATCCGAAAAAAAAAACAAATAAATAAAGAAGGCAAGGAGCATTCTAAGAACTATAATTCATTTCAAAGCTCGTAGAGTACGCTTAATATTTTTTCAAATAATATTTTTTTTAATTTTTTTTCTTTTCTTTTACTTTACTTTTTACCTTTTTTTTTTTAATTTTTCATCATCAATATTTTTCTCACCAAAAGGAGTCATTGGAAAGAAACGCTGTGTACGTATAGGTCTGTTCTATGCGTATAAAGTGCACTGGGAATTTATTTGCCAAAAATAAAGAAAGTTACTCTGGAGGACTCTGTGTCGCCCAACTTTTTAAGTAATGCAAGGCGCCGATTCCGCAATGGAGGAGCTGTGGAAGGGGAGGGGAAGTAACCTTTTTTGTTTTTTTTTTACCTGAAAAGGGCGAAAAATATTCATTACAACGATGATATTCGGTTAGCACATAATATTATTAATTAATAATATTTAGATTTATCCAAAAAAAAATTAATAATATTCAGATAAATAAAAAAATAGACTCCACACAAGCTCATACCTATCCATCCATATAAATAAATAACTAATTAATATTAACATAATATCAACATGAATATTCTTTCAAGAGAAAAACCTATCTTATGCTCGTTATCCATATAGAATTTGACATACAAAAGGCTTCGCTTTCTTGTGTAACCAAATTGTTATACATGTATTTTGTGCAAAATACTTTTTCTTAACATATATTTTTTTTATAATAGTTAAAAGATTAAATATAAATGAGTTGAGTTTATTATGAATAAAAATATTAAAGTATAAATCGCAATATAAAATTGTTCAATTTTAATGATCTTGATTGTTATTGTGCTTAATATAAATAAGACTATTTGCTTTATTTATTATATAGATTAAGAGTTTTTATAGATTTTCTTTTCTTTCTTTTTGTAAAATTATTATGATATTTTCATGGTTCAAACATTTACTCGGGTTAAAATATTTATTATATTTAGAAGTTACATATAATTAGCATATATTAATATAGTTAATATCTATATTTATATCTATATCTATCCATATCTATATTTACTTATAAATGACAACATTTACGAAAAAAATTTAATTTTTTATTTTATTCCTAATTATTATAATAAATTTAATTATACCCCGCTTATCCCTAAAATTCAAACTCAAAACATTTAAATTTATGATTCAGCTCTATTACCATTTGAACTACTTTAAAATTATTCATATTCTATTGAGCCCTTACGTGAGGATTAGGAACCCGTAAATTATATGCTGATGGATACCTTTCCATCTGTAATCTAGCTTCTCCCCCTTCCTTTCTATACTTTTGTATTTCTACTATTACTTTCTGTAACTTTATTCCATTACTTTTAGTCTCCTTAAACTCCGAATTAAATTGTCAGGGAATCAATTCACCATTCCTTACTTTGTAAGTCGTCTACTACTACTTTTTGTAGCTTTATTCAATTACTAATACTTTTGATTAGCTAAATTTTAAGCGAATCAATTCAAACCCTTTTATTGTTTAAAAAAAATATTGATCACAACCTTTTAAACATTGGTACGTTTTTTATTGTCAATTAAAGGTATACTTTAATCCAAAATTAACTTAAAGATATAATATTTTAATTAAAATTTTAAGTGTTTTGATTGGACTAGAAAAAATATGTTCGAACTCAAGTTAAATTCAAGTAATTCCATTATCACTTATTTTGGCTGATGTGGGCATGACTAGCTATTTTGACAACATTCCATAAAATCGAGACACAATGAGAACGGTGATTTTTCTCATGAACTCTACTTCAGGGAAGCTTATGTGGCTCTCATCTACTAAATTTATGTTATCTCAATGAATT